CTAAAAGCATGACTCACACTCATTAATATATATACATTTCTCCTGAGTATGTCTTACTTTTCACCAAAAAGCACTGCAATTCCTCAAAACCCAAAATCAATTCTACTGAGCAGAGTTTTGCAATGGAAACAGTTCACTTTCTTTCTTTTTTTTTTTTTTTTCCCTTTTGGTCTTTTTTACTGACTTACTGACCGGTAACGGGATCACAACCCTCGGTGTTGCGCCCACACCGCGCTCAGCCAGTGAGCGGGAACCGGTCTCCACATGGGATCCGAACCCTCGGCGGGAGTGCCGCCACGCTCCCAAGCGGCGCACTCTCCAGTGCGCCACCGGGCCGGCCCCAGACTATTCACTTTCTGATCAAGCTTAGTGTCAGGTTCAAGTTCAAATAACTACAATTCTCTTTTAACAAAACCAGCAGTACTCTTGGTTTTACTCTATAGAAACCTTATTCACTTCATTCTCATCTGTTTATTCAGGACCTTCTATGGGACAGAGGGCATTGTGGTTTAAAAGAAAAAAAAAAAAAGGCATGCTCTCTTGTCCTCAGGGACCACAGAACCCGGGAGAATGACAGCAGATGTGCATCCAAGGAGTCGTCTCATGAAATAGCTATGACTTCACCACTTGAAATCCTAGCCACTTCAGAAGTAAAAGGTGACTCACAATCAACTCCCAGGTCTTAGCTGTGACTTGGGAGCACTTGGTATGTGACAGGCAGTGGTCCAAGTACATCATTTGTGTCCCCACCACACTAGGAGGGGGTGCCATCAATTGTCCACATGGTAAACAAGATGAGATGGAGTCACAGCCTAGTTAAGGAACTTGCCCAAGGTTCACAGTGACAAGAGACAAAGCTGAGATTTGAGTTCAGGCTATCTCCATGCCAGGGTCTCCAAAGCAGGGGCTGGCTGTTAGTCAGCCGGTTAGAGTGTGGTGTCATATCACTGGAGGTTAAGGGTTTGGATCCCCATAGCAGCCAGCCGCCAGAAAGAAAAAGGCTCTTTGAAGGAATGCATACTTGACTTGTAATGGTTAAAGGACCATGAAAAGACATTTCACTTCCATGGTCATCTGTCCCTCCCTCAGGACAAGCTCTCCTGACAGAGATGCAAGGGCAGTCCTGACCTGGACAACAAAGCACTCAGACCTTTTTCCTCACACTGCGGATGCTCCACCTCCAGATGGAGCAGGTGATCCTATCCAAAGCATCTTAAAATTCCCAGCAAAATACTGTCAGTTCAAGTGAGTGTGCTAATTAGGCTGAACATTTCTAGAACCTCATCTGCGCTCCTACACCTCTCTTCCAGTCAGTTAATCTCTCTAAACCAGTGCTGTCCAATATAAATAAGAGCCAAATATGTAATTTTTAATTTTCTACTAGCCACATAAAAAAGTAAAAAGAAACAGGTAACATTAACTTTAATAGTATATTTTACTTTACTCTATCAAAAATGTTATTTCAACATGTAATCAATATAAAACAATTATAAAAGAGGTATTCCACATTAGTCATACTAAGTTTCTGAAATCGGTGTGTATTTTACATTTCAGTTTGGACCACCCACATGCTGAGTACTCAACAGTCACACGTGGCAAAGAACCACCAGCTAGCTACCTTCGTGGACAGACGGCACCACTAAGCCCTTCCTGATCCGAAAACTCAGAACCCTCCCTCAAACTGAAGCTATTCCTCATTTTTTCATTCACCCAGCAGTATTCACTTGCAGGATGATCCATTTCAACACCTGTCGAAAGAGCAGGAAGCAGGCTCTCCCTACATAAAACTGTGCCTAGTTTCCCAACTCAGAAACTGAGAATGACAAGGGGTCTTCCGTGACTCCCTAGTATCACTAACTTTACATCGCAGTTAAAAGTCAACTTTCTGGGCCGGCCCGGTGGCGCACTCGGTAGAGTGTGCGGGAGTGTGGTGGCGCTCCCGCCGAGGGTTCAGATCCCATATAGAGACCGGTCTGCTCACTGGTTGAGCGCGGTGCGGGCGCGACACCGAGGGTTACGATCCCGTTACCGGTCATGAAAAAAGACAAAAAGGAAAAAAAAAAAAGTCAACTTTCTTACCTATCAGATGTTGCCAATAAGGAGGTGACAGCAGTAACTGTGGCGTGAGGTCAGAAAGCACCTGGTAAGTGTCAGCTGAGGGAAAGGGCCAGAAATCCAGGGATAAGCTAGCATGGAAGAGCTACCTTCACCTAAGTCCCTTCCAACTCTGGGATCATGGGAAATGGCTTGTGTCTTATGCATCACACATAAAAAACCTATTCTTCCATTTTGTCTCCCTCTTTCTAGACTTGTTGGCCTATGCCCTCTTTTTGCTTGCAGAGTTGAGCACAGAATCTAACACACACCAGATGATTAAAAACTATTCAATAAATACACCACCTTCAAACATGTTGAGGCCAAAGGGAAAGTCCCACTTTAATTATTTCAGAGCCAAACTTTATACATAATTGATGGGAGTTTTATGAAATGAATGGAACCCATCCAGAAGGAAGGTCTAACAGGGAAAGGTGGTAGGAAACTGGAAATCACACAGCACACACAGTGGAGGAGGAAAAACTCCAAGCACCTTTGATAGGGGGCCTATGCAGGAAGACTCTGTCCTTTGCCATGCCATTTGTACTCCACTATGTAGAAATAATCTGTTTTTACATTTACTTCCCGCAAAGTATGACAGACACTATTAGGTTCCCAAAGAATAAGGGTTTTTATCGGCATTTGCATGTCCAGCCCACCCAAGCAAGACCAATGGTATTTAGTAACCCTGCTGGCTAGAGGCAGAGTGACGTTCTGTGGCTGGACCACCAGTAAATTTCCTACCCTCTCTCTGCCTCTGTTCTTTGTCTGAAAGTACAGACAGTAACAGTCCCCACTGCATGTGCTATGAGGACCCGATGAGAAATCCACATAAGACCCTTAGAACAATGACTGACACACAGTAAAAGCTCACTAAATACGAACTGTTATGAAAGTAGTTATAGCATTTTGACCTGAAAAAATTTAAGCAATGGTTAGAAAACTACCTTCTCCTTCATCTGCCCCACTTGTCACCCAGAGTCAGTGGAAGAGGTCCTTTTTTTTTTTCCTTTTTGTCTTTTTTCGTGACCGGCAACGGGATCGCAACCCTCGGTGTTGCGCCCGCACCGCGCTCAACCAGTGAGCGGACCAGTCTCTATATGGGATTCGAACCCTCGGCGGGAGCGCCACCACACTCCCGCGCACTCTACTGAGTGCGCCACCGGGCCAGCCCCGGAAGAGGTCCTTTTGCAGAAATCAACAATATGGGTAACAGTGGAAACCAGTGTAATATAGGGATTCATCAGGTAGACGTGAGAACAGTTTACGTTGCTTTCTAATTGTCCACTTAGCTTTTAAAACTTTATTGAGATGTGACATACAATAAATGTGTACAATTTGATACATTTTGCCATATGTGTACACCTATAAAAGAATCACAATTAAGATAATTAACATTTCCATTAACCCCCAAAATTTCCTTGTGCTCCTCTGTTATCCTTCCCTCCAGCCTACCCCCCACCCCCAGGCAAGCACTAACTACTTTCTATCACTACACATTAGTCTGTATTTTCTAGAAATTTATATATATGGGATTCACAGAGTATGTACTTTGTACTGGACTGGCTTCCTTCTCTCACATAGTTATTTTGACATTCATCCATATTGTGCATGCACAGGTCTGAGGCATGGACATCTGCTTTCATTTCTCTTGGATTAGAATGGCTTGATTATGTACAGTGTGGGTTTAACATCTGAAGAAACTACCAAGCTGTTTTCAAAATGGTTGTGTCATTTCACATCCCCAACACTCCCGTCAGCAGTGCAGGAGGGCCCCAGTTTCTCACACCTCGCCAACCTTTGGTATTTTAGTCATTCTAATAGACGTACAACAGTATCTCACCATGACTTTAATCTGCATTTCCCTGGTGGCTCAGGATTTATGGTTCTGACAGTCTTTTCACAGTGCTGATCTGCTGTCTCTGTATAAACTCTGGGGAAGTGTCTGTTCTAGCCACTTGCCTTTCTTAACTAGGTGGTTTTCTTAACACTGTGCTTTGAGAGCTCTTTACATATTCTGTATACAAATCATCTAAAAGATATGTGATTTGCTAATATTTTCTGCCAGTCTATGGCTTGTCTTTCATTCTCTAACAGTATCTTTCAAGGAACAGAAGTTTTCAATTTTGATGAACTTACCTGTTTTCTTTCATGATTGTGTCTTTGATGTCATATCAAAAAAATCTTGGCTTAACCCAAAGTCTCAACAATTTTCTTCATTTCTTTCAAAGGTTTTCTAATTTTAGGTTTTATATTTAGGTCTATGATGCATTTTGAATTAATTTTTGTGTATGGTGTCAAATTCACTTTTGCATAAAGATACCCAATTATTCTAGCACCTCATCATTCATTCAATTTAGTTTCACTTTTAATCTGAAATACTTCAAACTTCAGTGAGCTGCAATAACACAAAGAAACTGCACCTCATCCAGCCTCACTGACAGCTGGCACAGGGACACTTGTGCTTCACCACTCCCACCTCACACACACCCAGATTTCCTTCCTGAATCATGTGCCCCTTACTTTTGTATTTATCATATGTTGGAATTCCCACTATGATCTGATGTGGAAAAAAGGGCTCTCCTGTCTTCTAAATGAAAAAAGTTGTAGAAATACTTCTCTTGTCCAGAATGTAAATCATAACCTTTGGGGACCTGAAACCTTCTTGCTGAACACTAAATGGAAGCTTTAAAAAAAAAAAAAAAAAAAATCCTCTGAGGACTGATGTGTTCTGAAAACCAACTTTGGACTTAAAAAAGAGAAATAGGCAAAACTGTAACAAAAACCAGGTTATTAAAAAAAGAAACCCTGATGAAATTTGAATATTGCATTTTAAAAACTAATGAGAATCAATTATATCAAAATTAATTTTAAAAACTGATGAGACTCAATTACATTAAAATTACCTTAATTCAGAAGTGCTTCTGGTCTGGTCTCCAATACATGTAAATTGGTCTGTAACAAACAGAAAAGGCTATATTTGCATTGCATTCAGGTTGTGGAAAAAATACTCCAATTTACTAATAGTTACACTTTAGGTTAAGAGTGTATAAACCTACGCTTTCCCTATTACTATTTCTCCCCAAAATTGCTTGACTTAGTATTATTGTACTAAGTTTCTCAGTATGAAAAGCAAAAAAATCCTAATTTCTTTTAAAAGAATCCTTAGAATGCACCAGGAAAATACCTTGAATTAGACTGAAAAACATGACTAGGGTTAGAATCCTGTTACTAGAAAAGCTGCCACAGCAATTAAAAAATCACTGCACTTTAATGAGCTTCTAAGATTAGTGTAAGCTAGACTGTCCCTGTTTGGCATGTCAGTGTAGAGGACTTCATCTGAATGTTAACGATTTCCTAAGTCCTGGCAACTCCACATGGACACCTCCAACGTATCCCTCCATCCCATTCCTGCTACCACTGTCCCATCCAATCAATGTCTTGGCCCTGGTGTCCAGGAAGCAGTCTGGAATGGCCACAGAGACCATGAGGGAGGCTCCCGACTCCTCTGGACACACTTCAGCCAGATTGAAAAGATGTTTAATTCTATGGGATGGCTGGTTAGCTCAGCTGGTTAGAGTGCACGCTTGTAACACCAAGGTCAAGAGCTCAGTCGCCTGTACCGGCCAGCCGCCAAAAAAAGAATATATGTTTAATTCTAGATATCTTCTGAAATATCTGCTTGTATTTTCCCAGAAATTAAGTTTCAAAACATTTAAAGATGGTTCTTCAAATTAAACTTTGTGTGAAAAGACACTTTTGGATGTTTTATAGGTTACCACCTGCCTGTTTATTAAGTCAATACCTTGTGAGCCTACAAACTCATGGGCACAAATCTAGTGTGGGGTCAGGAGTGGTATTAATAAGCTGAAACATCCCCCAGTTGAACCGTGAATTAATTCTGAGGCATATACCTAACAAAGTAGTTTAATTTTGGAATTATGTTGCTTATGTATATGTAAGCACATGCTTTTCTGGCAATCAAAGTGGATGTGGAAGGAAAACAGTTTGACAGGTCCTCAAAAAGTTAAATACAGAATTACCACACATCTAGCAATCCTACTCCTAGGTATATATCCAAAAGAACTGAAAACAGGGACTCGACACATTATGTTCATAGTAGTAGTATTTGCTAACTAGAAGATGGAAACAGTCCAAATGTCCATAGATGGATGAATGGATAAACAAAAAGTGGTATATCCACACAACTGAATATTGTTCAGCCATAGAGAGGAATTAAGTACTGATACATGCCACAACACAGAGGAACCTCACAAACACTATGCTCAGTGAAAGAAGCCAGACACAGGAGGGCACATACATACTGTATAACACAATTTACGTGAAATATCCAGAACAGGCAAATCCATACAAAAGGCAGTGGTTGCCAGAAGCCATGGGTGTGCACGTGCATGGAATAAGCAACTAACTGCTTAATGGATACAGGGTTTTCTTTTGGGTGATGAAAGTGTGGAATTAGGCAGAGATGGTGGGTGCACAACACTGTGAATGCATTAAATGCCACTGAAATGTCCACTTTAAAATGGCTTAATTTTGGGCCGGCCCAGTGGCGCACTGGATAGTGCGCCGCTTGGGAAGCGCGGCGGCGCTCCCCCCACCCGAGGGTTCGGATCCCACATACGGACCGGTTCCCGCTCACTGGCTGAGCGAGGCGTGGGAGCAACACCGAGGGTTGCGATCCCGTTGCCGGTCCCGGTCCGGTACGGGGGCGACACTGAGGGTTGCGATCCGTTGCCAGACACGAAAAAAAAAAAAAAAAAAAAAAAAAAAAAAGGCTTAATTTTGGGCTGGCCTGGTGGTGCACTCGATAGAGTGCGGCGCTCCCACCGAGGGTTCGGATCCCATATAGAGACCGGTCCGCTCACTTGTTGAGCACGGTGCGGGCACGACACCGAGGGTTGCGATCCCGTTGCCAGTCGCGGTACGGGCGCGACACCAAGGGTTGTGATCCCGTTACCGGTCATGAAAAAAGACAAAAAAAGGAAAAAATAATAATAATAAAAAAAAAAAAGGCTTAATTTTATGTTATGTGAATTTCACCTCAAAAAAAAGGGTGGGCGTGGAAGCAGAAGCCGGGGAATGCAGAAGTTAATCAGTGAATGCAAACCAACACCGCTTTCACAAACCGTAGCCCCACGAGAAGATCCTATGAGCGCACAACTAAGGTATCAGCAAATTGTCAAATTTCAAAGCAGGGGTCTTGGGCCGGCCCGGTGGTGCACTGCTACAGTGCACCGCTTGGGAGTGCGGAGGCGCTCCCGCCGAGGGTTTGGATCCCACATACAGACTGGTTCCCGCTCACTGGCCGAGCGAGGTGAGGGCGCGGCGCCGAGGGTTGCGATCCTGTTGCCGGTCCTGGTCCGGTCCGGGCGCGACACTGAGGGTTGCGATCCGTTGCCAGACACGAAAAAAAGACAAAAAGGAAAAAAAAGCAAAAAAAAAAAAAAAAGCAGTGGTCTTGACCTAAGCACAACTGACATTTCAGATGGGACCCTTCTCTGTGGGGGAATCAGTCTGCTGTAGGATATTCAGCAGCATCCTCACTTCTACCCTCTAGATGCCAGTAGAACCCCCTTCCCCAGCTATGACCACCACCAGATGTCCCGGGGGTGGGGTGACAATGTCAGCTCCAGGTGAGAACTCCCTGTTTAACCTAATTGTCACATCACAATTATCCCAATCTCTAAATATAAATCCTTCCACCTACTTTCTGTACCAACAGACTGGCAGTAAAAAAAAAAAAAAAACTAGCCAGAAAAATACATCACAGTTCTCTCTGATTGTGTAGATTACCTGTGGCTCAAGTCAGGAAACAAAGTTAAAATTCCTTATTCTTTCAGAATAAGAAAAAATGCAGTCAACTCTGCACACACTTCCCTATTCTCCAGCTCATGTGGCCATGGTTACTATGGTCAGAATAAGGATGCAGACGGCGCTCTCAAACCACCTCAGCCTGGATTCACATGGAAAGCTGTCTGGACTCATTTCTGGCTAAAACAAGACCTAAATGCGGGCTCTTTTTCTGACTACCCGGCCCACAGAACCCAGATCTAAAGACAAGACGACTGGCCCCACAGTAATGTGACCCTAACCAGTAACACAACCCTTAAAGAAAACTGGGAAACTGGGCCGGCCCGGTGGCGCACTGCTACAGTGCGCCGCTTGGGAAGTGCGGCAGCGCTCCCGCCAAGGGTTCGGATCCCACATGCAGACCTGCCGCTCACTGGCTGAGCGAGGAGCGGGGGCAACACCGAGGGTTGCGATCCCGTTGCCGGTCCCGGTCCGGTACGGGCACGACACTGAGGGTTGCGATCCGTTGCTGGTCACGAAAAAAGACAAAAAGAAAAAAAAAAAAGAAAAAAAAAAAAAGAAAATTGGGAAACTGGGGACTTAATAAAACCAAAACCTACATTCTGTGTTTCACAATGCTACTACACCTACGAGTGGCAAAAGGTAAAGTGGAAAGGTGAGATGCACTTTAGGCTCCTGGGGGCTGAAAATACAGGGATTAACTGGAGCTTGGCTAACTGTTTTATCCCCAAAGGGGAAAAAATGAGGAAGATGCCACATCTAGGACTCAAGAAATGAAGACAACAGATGAGTTCCTTCTCTTTCCTTTTCTGGTCCTTACTTGGGCTCCTTGCTCCAATTCCATGATCTGGTGGTTAATGCACACTGACACAGTACTCGTACTAACAAGGTCTGACCCAGGCAGTGCTCAGCTCTGTGTAAGGCACGGCTCTAAGTAATTAACATATCATTCGGTTAAGTCTCACAACAATCTAACAAGTAAGCCTCCTTAGCATGCCCATTTGAAATGTTAGGGATAGCTAAACAGATATATTCTAAGCCACCAAACTAGATTTTAAAAGTATGGCTGAAAAGAGATATAGTTTAAATTATTTTTATTTATTTATTTTTAATAACGATCTCACAGCATTTATTGTCATCTGATAATAACACAAGGGCGATCAAAATGATAGTAACAAATGTTTTAGAACTACATTCCCAAAAAAACAAACTGTATTGCCTTCTCAACAATTTTCACTTCACTGATCATTTCTCATTTCTAGTTGAACACTTTGTAGCATTTTCTCCTTCTAACATGATCCAACCCAGTTGTTTTCTTGACTTTATTTTAGAATGAATCTCTTCTGCATCATCTAATACAAGGTTCATATACTCATCAAAACTAATGATACAGTCCTCCATCCGCATATTCACTTGCTCACAGAGACACACCTGAATCAGGGATCCCTGCTGCAGGTATCTGAAGATGAGGTTGATGGGCAGTACCATACCTTCTGCATTTTTTGGTCCTGACCATGGTATGCCACAATGGAATCTCACTAAGACTACACTGAACCGGACCCTACCTTAGACAGCAACTTCTGGAATTTTCAAATTACTTTTAATGAACAAAATTTGTTAAGTACTTACTGTATGCCAGATGCTATGGTGCTAAGTACTTTATATGCATTATCTGATTTAATCCCTTAGAAACTAAATGAGGCATGTACTACTATCATCACTGTTTGTGACTGTAATTCTGTAAGATTACAGAAAAGAAGTTCCTCAAAGAGTAGGGAGCAGTTAGGATTACACATAGCAATCTGACTCCTGGGCCCAGTGGCTGACTCTGTGCTATATTTACTTGCATTTTAAAACAATGAATCTGTGTGCATATTTAAAAAAAACAAAAAACCAGACACAACAATTCACATTTGCCCCTTTGTTCAGAATGTTCTTTGCCCTCTCTTCCCCGTGCTAGGGAATATCACTTAACCATCCAGACACAGCTTAAATTTATTTATTTATTTTTATTTTTATTTATTTATTTATTATTTTCGGTCTTCTGTTTTTATTTATTTACTTATTTTAATTTTATTTTGTCAATATACGATGTGGTTCATTATTGTGGCCCATTACCGAAACC